GCCAGACAAGCGAAATAAACCCGACGTAGCAGCCACTACGGCAAAATATTCCGACTCACGTAGTCAGATTTCACGCTACGGCTGGATGCAACCGACGTACGCAGACATATTTTGGGGGAAATTTACTTCCGGCAACCGTATCAGCGCCAGCCATAGCGATTTGCTTAAAGTCCCTACCAACGATGCTAGAACGCATGCGTCTTACATGTTAGGTTCTACAATAAGGAAACCCACTCAACATTCGTGTGTGATCCCCTATGCAATGTATCCTCCACCTAATATATAGAAGACACGAACGCTAACTAATCTGCGCATGCGTTTAGAGCAAATTGGTTTTGTTCCAAACAGAATAGTACCACAAAGAGAGCAAGGGGTTACCTGAAACAGATACATAGCCTTGCGATGTTCTCACCTAACTGAGGTAGATCGGACAATTTTCACGAAGGTTACACACGTACCCTTCCCACCCCAATCCTACCACTTTCTTGCCTCTAGACTAATTAATTAACTGAGATTAATTAATTATTAAACAAACATTAAAGTTTACACCTTGGCGCTATAGAGCCTTAGTGCCTTAGCGGCAGGCAGCCCCTAAAAACCATTTCAATAGTGCAACGACACACGTCAAAGTGAACACATTAGGTTTTCAACACCCTTTTATTGGTTTTACTGCATTACACGTTTCTGTGGTTACAGGTCTCTCCACTAAAGTGAACACTTACAACTGGTACTATGGCAGCAAATGCGACATTGACCTTGCTTGAAAAGTAGATCAATTTCTTACCTAACTTTAACAGTAAATCTATTCAAGGTCATGAAACAAACAAATTTATAAGGGATGAAGCCATTGGCAGCTGTTCGTGGATCTCGGATCCTGTTCCCTCGTCCATCCCTGTCAGTGGCGTGAGTTCTTCCAGGTTTGTGTGACCAGAATCCGTTATCATCCAAACGGTACCAGTGATAATCACGATCATATGGATTATTTGGATCACCTGTGGAGAAAAACATTAGACAGTATTCCGTTTTGTCACGTTGTTTCTTTGTGTTAAGACTAAAATAATGAAATCTGTAAGCGTTTTCTAAGCAATTCATAGTTTACAGTGGATGTGATGTTCCGGTTGAGTGAACACCGCATTTTGTTTTACTGAGCGCGCGTTATCCTTTAGCCTCATCATGATGAAAATGATTAAACAACAAATACGTAACAAACAAAAGCGAAATGCATATTTCGTGAAGCAAAAGACGTATTTTTATTGCGGTTATCTCATTTGTATTTTTACTCGGTTGAACTTAAGATTTTATGTGGCGATCTTCTCGCACATTCATTTAAAGTTTAGGATTTTGATGGTATGACTGGCTAATTGATGGTTGGTTGGCTGGTTAGTTGATTGGTTTGCTTGCTGGTTTATTCAAACTAATTCGCATCGTATAGAGATGAATAATCTATGGAAAAAACGAGCCAGAAACTTCAACGGCACATCATAAAGTGGCAACCAATTCTCAATGCGTTCCTAATCTTCTGTACATTGAAACTTTTACGTATGTGCTTTATCGCATTTCCTCGATTAATGCTACCGTCCTTGACTCTCAAGTTTCTTTTCCTTTTCTTTTAGAAATTTAAGAGACCAATGACTCACTATTGTAATTAAAAATGGAAAAAGCGTAGTCAGGAGATGTCATAAGTTCTGTGGGAAAAAGGTTTACCACTGATTCTTGATATTTTTCAACAGACGTTCGGCTAATGCTTAAGCCTTCATCAGTGATATGAAAGCGAAGTTCGTTGTCATACGCTATTTAAAGTAATGTAACGGGACTATGTAACTCATGCTCGCGCTATGCCTTTGTAGGCTTCTGGAAGTACGATATGATCGTTCCCAGCGTTCGGGTCCAAAGTAGAGTGCCAGGCTTCGAGGAACAGTCGCTCGTGGTAATTAGCTTCGAAACCAACAACCTTGACGTTTTCGAGGCTGAAATGGTGAACATGGCTTGCAACTTTGGAGTTTTGGTCAAAACCTGCCTTTTTGTGCTCCGCAATTCGGGTCTTTAATGATCTTTCTGTTTGGCCATAGTACACAAAATTACACTGTGTGCAATTGACTTTGTACACTATGCCTGATTTCTGGCGGTCAGAATCGTCTCGCTCTTTGAGGCGCGGAAAAAGGCTATTGATGGTTAGTTGAGGTTTGCAAGCTATTTTGACCTTTTGTTGTTTCAAAATGCGACCTATTTTCTCGGAAACGCCCCGTACATACGGCAACACTACAAAGCCATTGAATTTGTTCTCGGCGTGTTGTTTGGTTAACGACCTCTCGCAGTTTTGAATAAAAGACATGGGATGATTGTTATCTCGCAGAACGGCTTTGACTCGTTGCGTTTCGTCTCGTCTTCCTTTATTCGTTGACGGAATGTTGTTTGCTCTTTTCAGCAAAGTGTTGACTACGGATCTTTTGTGGCACAAAGGATGACACGAAAAGAAATCGAGATAACGGTCGGTGTGTGTCGGTTTTCTGTAAACATCCACTTGAATGTCTGTGCCGCGTCTACTTGTAATGGTGTCTAGAAAAGGTAAGCCTTGCCCATTGGTGTTTTCTAGTTCCAAAGTGAACTATATATTTGGGTTAATTGCCGATGATTTGAGTTTTAGCCGACCTGGTTATGAAAGAAATTGAGGAAACGGCGATCTTCACATTCTCGCACCCTCCCAAATGGTGGTTTCGCATTGTTGACGATATTGTAGTTAGGCGCAACTCTATCATTTATTCAACAACATTGTTGTCGATCAGAGTAAAATCATGTTACGAGATGGAACATCCAACATTCTTAACAAGACTTCATAAGCGAGCAAATTGCAACAATTTTTAACCCCGCGATATTTTGCTCATTTATTACCTTCAATCAGTCTATTTCATTCTCACCTTCGTAATGAACTAAGGCTACCAAGTGTCTTCGTCCAGCAGGGGGGCGCATGGAGGGTAGGGCTCGCTTAAATCTTAAGCCATCAGCCTCTGCAGAAATTTTCACGTCCTTTGCTTTAAACAGGAGAGGAAGCGGTCGTCCAGATGCAAGTCCAGGCTGCGCAAAGGTATCGGTTCTGATAGTGCTTCCATAGTTGTAGCAGTTATTAAGTTCGATATGATCTTCATGGTTCCAATACGATGGACGGTACGAAGGCGCGTGACGCTTCTTGGTACTGTATAATACGGCCCCGACTTTTCCACCTTGTATTTCCTTCTGAACAATGTTGTAAATTCTTTCCGATATCATATCTTTTGGTATGCTCTTGAGTAGTAGTAGCTGTAACATTACTGTTCCCCGGCCCACGATCAGTACTTCCGGTTGCTTTTTCCCGTCTTTCACCTCTTGAACTAGAAATCCTTCGTAGCCAAGCTTTCCAGGCGCGTTTTCTGGGGCGTATTTTCGTCCACGGTGCAGACCTTTTTTTATCTCCTGGAACTTGGAGTTATTGCGAAGAATCATCCACTGTGGGTCGGGAACACCAGAAAATACCTCCAAAGTCACAATTAATCCGCCCGCGTCTGAAACGAATCAACCGATTTGCTGTGTGATTTTTATTCATCCCTTACATTAACTAACACGACAAAGTCTCCTAATTCTACATTACCTGGAGGAATGTCTACTGCAGTTTCGGCCGTCTCCATGGGTTTAGCTTTAGCTGTCGTTTCTCCTGCTATAACAAAATTATTTTAAAATTAAATAACCATAAATTGAACTCCTTGCAAAATTAAACCCCGCCTGTACCTAATTCACTGTACCTCGAAGAAACTACCATTCAAANATTAAATGCAAATGATGTCCTTCCATCATCCGTAAACTTTTCGGAGTAATTCTGCTGACCAGTAGATGAAGCTCCTGAAATCACTGTATTAGTCAATATTGCAGGCACATGTTTGTTTTACATTTGGAGGTCAAGGTCTATATGACTGCGATTTGTGCACTAAAAATGGAAACTTGTTTTGTTTGCTTTCTGGGTATAGTTCATTTGACATTTCTATTACAATTCTAATCTTGAATTAACAGTTAACAGCAAATAAGACCAAATTTTGGCTTTTTTATTACGCATTGGGAACGTTTGTGATGACTGAGGTGAAGTTGCTGGATGAAAATTTCTCAGGATTACACCAGATTATAAGTTTCAACCGCGGGCGTCAGTGGACTCCACCGCGAGAATATCTTGAACTTATGGAAACTCTCCATGTTACGCAAATAACAGTGAAGAAACATAAGTCGCATTGGACGACGAATCTCTCATAGCGGGAGCGAGGAGAACTAGCTAGAACTCCGCGAATTGAAATCCAATGCGAACATTAAAATTTTGCCCACAGGCAAAAATTTTTGGACTTGTTCAAGCTGATACGTTTTGACACTCGACTAAGCTGATGAGCTATATATGTCTATTTATAGTAGATTCAATCATCGCAACACGATCGCATGCGTACAGTTTGATTTTGAGGTCATTTGAATCAGCAAAAAGATCGATTTGCTCTACAATTGTATGGTGAATTTAACAGGAAAAAAGTTCAAATAGGACCCCACTGTTCAATGTGTCCTAGCGACACTAGAAGTCGGCATCCGAGAAGTTTGTAGTTTAAGAGACTATATGTCGCATATTTGTTAGCTAATTCGCATATTTGCTAGCGAATTTGAAATAAGACTGAGCCATTGTACCACTCATTAAACCATTTGTTTTCCGACGTTTTCGCTGCCGTTGTGGTCTAAAAGTGACGAGGTCGGTGACGTATCAGTGTTCTGGAGAGTCAGCCATTTTCAATTTTAAATGGAAAAATTGCGAATGAAACGAGCCGAGAGAAGATCAAGGTAAGAGAGTGAATACCCCATATTTGCCTTACACCCAAGGTACATGTAATCCCTCATTAGTTATTTTTAGACAATGTACCCAGTTCGTCCACGCATGCTACTCGCGCGTTGCGTGGATGTTTTCAGGGAAGATTTATTTATCTGTCGCTTGGTTTTAAAGCGAAGTTTTAACGCTGTGGGGATGCCATCCTTTATTTAAATATCAAAGAAGCAAAGGAGCTTCTACCCTAATGAGCTATGTTTTAACACATTTCGCAACTTTAATAGGAGTTTAAATAAGAGACTGATGTCTCCTGCCCGAACAATAATAAACTTAATGAAATGAATGAGCAGAAATGAACAGCCAAACGAGTTCAAAGCCCAACTAACGTCCGAACACAACCCAACCGAACAAACGTAAGGTCGAAAGTGCAGACACTCACCGTCCAAACAACAAGAGGGAGCTTGAGCAACAACGACAACAACGCCAAAGACAACGTCGAATAAATAACGACTTTATATTCAACCGAAGAATCTCGCAAGAATTGAGATTCATTCAGTTTGCCTATCACTGTCAGAAATATCCAAACAGAAAGTGTAAGACAGCGTCAAAATTCGAAAAATAAATTTTAAAAATTGGCCGTCATACTTCACGTTCTCGTGAATACGCAGAAAGTGATCATTCCATATTGCTGTTTTTTCCTCAAAAACCAACATTTCCAAATTGCAATTCGATCCTAGAATGCGCGGGCATGCATTTCTGAACGAGTTCTTGTGAACTCCTTGGGGCTCCGTAAGTAAACAAATGACATATTTACACTTCTTTCTTTCTTTCTTTCTTTCTTTCTTTATTTATTCATTTATTTACATAAAGAACGGCAAAAAAATGAACAAAGAATTATAACTATAATTGGAGTAGTTGCCGTTGTGGTTTACTTATTTTTAAACTCTGTAAACCGAATGAACGGTAAAAGAATGAACGGCCAAACAAGCACAAAGCAAACGAAAGCCCAGCGGAATGAAAAGGCTGGGAGTGCAGGAAACATCCTTGCTATGAAACGTCTTTTGAAAACCAAAACATATAAAGTGACTTCACCCCATTTCTCGCCATTTCGTCTCAGGTAACTGCAAGAAAGTCACTTGGGCTGTGCACGCATCACGAGGTTATCGTTTTCCACTCCGGTGCAGTCAGCCAGAAAATTCTGTTCCATTCGTCCCGGGAAATTTCCGGAAGTTCACACCGGAATTTTCGGTCCAATAGAAAGCGCCCTCTGTATCAGATTTTTGTTAATAGACCTTTCAGGTCAGGGTGGACAAAAATAGAGCAAATGTATGAAAATGTCCACCCTAATCTCGTTCTGGAACTATTGTCCGAGCGCACTGAACTGGAATGCGGGAAAGGTCTATTGGAGTTTTCAGTTGTGCACTGCTTGCTACCTGATGACCCACTCTATCATTTGCTGGGTTGCTCAGAGAAGAAAAACAATAAATATTCTTGGCCTCATCCTTGACAATATTTCGTTTCCTAAAGACAACTGCCATTTGTCGACTTGTTTAAAAAGTACAAACTAATAGCTCTTTTGTTTATTTTTTTTACTTGATTTTATCAATACATTTTTAACTGAAAGGCTAATTACTGTAGCGGCGAGAAAAAGGCCTAATAACTAAATAACGACGTACACATTCGGGAAATTGTAAATAACTCCATGCTTAAATAGCCGCACCTTAAAATACTTACGGAAATAAATTCATTGCATTGCATTGCTAATTTTAATTATCTTAACTTTTGAGAGGAAACAATACAAACAAGGATCGTTACGAGACCAACGACTGATTTCACCCAATTTCACCCATAATCGTTTTGTATTAGGTGCGCAATGAAAAGATTCTATAAAACTATTGCCGCGACTCAGTGGTTTGAATAAGATGCTATTCCTCAGGAGGTTAAGGTGAACATTCTGAATCATTGAGCATTTGCCTGTTTTTGATCAATACTGGAAGGATGCCGAGAGACCTTAAACCAGATTGTTCATTTGTTAAAATAGGGGCAGAGAGCAACTGAACACAGAGAAACAAACTCAGCAATGTACAAACCATTTGTGGAGGAGTACGTCAACGCAGATAACAGCAAAATTACCAAGATGTTCATCTTGCTTGTTCTGGATTCACCCTCAAAAGAAAGTAGGAAGAGAAAAGTAGGAAGACTGTTGGTTTATATAGTTTACTCACTCACTCGACTTATAATAACGATGCACTTTTAGCGAAACACTAGAACTCAGTTAAACAATACACTTTCACTGCTAAAACTTTGTAAACTTTAAGCTGACATTTTGGCAAGAATGAACTCATGTATTTCATATTTTTCCGCCTTTTTAGATATGTGCTCAATCATTGTTTATACAGCCTTTAAAATTTAAAATGGCACATAAAGGAAATAAAATGTAAATCACTCAGTGTAGGCAGCTATCTAAATGGAGGTCTATCTAACAATTATCCTATGTACTTTACTTGGCTTGTTTACGCCTGGCACTAGCTTTTAGAAAACTGTATTCAACATACGGACATGCAACCAGTGGTACCTTTTGATACGTCTCAGCTGAGTTATCGTAAGTAAATTAAACAGCAGAGTTTCTGCGTTGTGTCCTAAAGTACTTCTCCTACACCTGCTTGTATACTAGAGCGACTTTCACATGTTCATTCGTAGAATATCTAGAATAAAGTTAATTGGTTAAGTCATCTGATCCTGATTGTGATTGAAGCAGAGTGTTCTATATAAGAGTCTTTATGGGTGCTAGAACCTTTTCATGCGCGGCCCCCTTTTTCGGTCTTTTTAGTCAACTAACACAAGCGGTTTTTTCGAGGCTTCACTCCTCGGGATGTCGGGCAAGCTGTTGGTCTGCGGGCGTCCCGACTTTTGCCTAGTAAGCGGAGAAAAAATCTTCGGTATCCAAGGTACCGAGGCTTCGAGCAATAGAACAATTCTGATTTCCCCCACCAATACGAAGTGCAATATTTTAATTAGGTGGAGGGTAGTATGTATTTTTCTGCATGAGCACATGAATACACGAAATAAAGTTGATCGAGCTCTTAACTTGTATTGTCAGAAAACGTATGTCCAATACCAAGATAAAAGCATAGCTACACATTTGAATACACTTTAAGTACACAGCTCTGATGTTTGTTTAACTGGAGACTGGAGATAGGCGCCGACCTGATGGGCCATCAGGCTTTAGCGCAGGCTTTACCGTAAGTGTTTATTTTATTTTTTTTAATTTTATGGGTTGAATGAACAGTACCACCTTTGAAAAATAATGCGCAGCACGTTCGCGCAAAAAAAGCTTTCTAAAAATTCAACAGGTGGACCATTGGGGATTTTCTTTTTCGTCAACAACAGCATTTTAACACTGGCTCTGGTTTAAATTGTGTCGCCTACAAAGCTCTAAGAACCATTAACTAATTAAAACACATAAACTCGCTGAAAAGGTTTTACTAACTGTAAATGTTACATATACCCAGAAATGTCTAAATTCATTTCTTAAATCGATAAAATTTTCTTTTTTTTTTACCTTAAAGCTGCTTAAGTGCCCGAAATGTTTCTAGATATATGTCAAGAAAGATGAAAGGTTTAAATAGGGAAAAGCATAACTTTATGTAAACTCAAACTTAACAGTTGCGACTAACTCACATAATACTTTCAAAACATTAAAACAGCAAAAAGGATAAAATCCGAAATCAAATCGTACTGCACTTGTTTTTTCATTCATTGTACGGAGCAAATACAAAAACGTAAATATCTCTAAAACGAAAACAGATATTCCAAAACGAAAAACGGCATTCTTCTTTACTTTGGAAAACCTTTCAAATAAGCAGCAATTAGTTTTTACTTCATAGGCACTTTAAAAATGTCATGTATTAATGAATTTTAAAGTGAAGACAAACAAAAAAGCCATTAGTTTGTACGTTGTAAGCAAGTTGACAAATGGCAAACGACATACTGATAAGGATGTTTCTGACGCCAAGAATATTTGTTCGTTTCTTTTCTGAGCAATCTAGCAAATGATAGAGTGGGCGTAGATAGCCAGCAGTGCACAAAAACTCCAAATGTATAAAAGTAGACAAACGATTTTTATGTTTATACATTTTGTCTCGCTCTCCTCACCTTCCCCTATAATAAAAGTCAATCTCATACCTAAATGTGGTGTACAGTGGCAGGTAGTACTTCATCCTTTTCCAAAAAAAAGGGGGGAGAGAGCGTGGAAATAAACTACAACAACAACAATCTTTGTTTCTGTACTCTATGAAATTTACAAATGTAAGAAGGAAAAAGAAAAATTAGTTTAGATTGCCATGTTTTCCGTCATATAATGTTCAAGCTAGGTACACTTTTCGTCTCAACAATTATTTCTTACATTATGCTAATTTTGGGAGAGATTTATCTTCAGAATCTTTCTGAAGTCTCAGGATTTGCGAGCATGAAAAATAATATTACATAATTCAGACCACAGAGATACTTCCCGGCTAAACCCGAAAAATAATCTCGGACGACAGTAGAACATTCGTTGCCATCCATTTATAATTTATTTTGCAATATTAACTTCCCTATGACGGTGTGCAAAGCATGAAGACTCCCGCTCTTCAGAAATAATGCAAGATCATTTATAGCTTGTGTCCACACGAAGTCGTTCGAGCTGTGCATTACTCCAGCTCCACTGAGTCCGTTAAATGGCACCACGGTCGAACGTCTAAACAGATCCACAAATGTAAAACATTTCCATCCAAAAAATTGAGTAAATCGTGTCAAATTCATCACTTGAGTAAACTCACAGGCGGCCTATGCTCACAATGTCAGGCGTTTTTTTTTTTTTTTTTTCCCTTTTGGATTTTTGGTTTTCGACACCAAAAATCCATCTTCGGATCGAACTGAATAGTGAGATTACAATAGAAAAGACAACAAGGCATTGAGGTAAGTCGATTTTGTTGCCAAAATGTTACAATTTCAGCTATAACGTCGACTACCGTTTTCCCCCATACAAAACTTTATAAATTGTGAAATTGTTAAATTGTTAAAACACATTGGTATCTTATGTAAGAGACTTGTTCAGTGATAAATTGTTTATTAAGCAATTTAGAGACAGTACAGTGCTTAAGAACACTGTAGTTGGTAATTAGTTATTACTCGTTATCTCATTAGCAGATGAAATTCGAGTTTGAAGACCTGATCACCTTTCAAAGTAGTTTTTGTTGCCAGGATGTCGTAAGCTGTAGCAATGCGATGTAGACTAAGGCAGTATTCCAATGTCCAGGAGGACATCTCATTTTAGAGTGGGAGTAGGAAGGGGTTGCCCCACCCCATACCCAGTCAGTCAAGTGATAAGTAGAAACTGGTCGACAACGAGGTCGAGAGACCGTAGAGAAAATGAAACGGTTGGACAAGACTATGTTTTCACTGTGTCCAATTTTTTTTGTGGAAACGAAGGCTAAGACGTGCTTGTGGCGGGAAATTTGTAGCACACGGGAGTGAGGTCCCTATCTGATCTCTGGTTTTATACACTGGACTGACGACCGATGTTTAACTTGTCATCCTGTAACAAACTCACGCTCAATTCTTTAAATTTGTCAAAAGTATCGGACTGCCGGTCATTTAGTGTTTTGAAAACCGTGATCCGGCAGTCGGCCTGAAAAAGATTTAATCATGGTCACGGTCTTCGAGCCCAGTGTAAACCAACGGTTAGACCTGCGATATATAAGGCTCTTCTGGATCGCTTGGCAGTTCTTAACCGACATATGATAGTTTGAATTGGATGTGTTCCTTCGTTTTCATCTGAATTTCTTTCCGCGGCAAAAGTATGCATAATTTATCACCGGCGCCAGACCATATCGGTCGAGCTCTCTGAAGACCCGGATTTAGAAGAACATGATTCGAAACATGAATAATAGGATCGTAGTTCGCGTCTTTTTTCTTTTTTTACTCTTGTGCGAACGTTCAGCGAAACGTGACGTACACGGCTGACATATACTATTACACAACGACCGAACTTGAATACGCGAAACGTGACTCTCGCCTTGCAATTGCGCAACATATGGAGGCGTTGAATTTATAAAGTTTTGTATGGGGGAAAACGGTAGTCGACGTTATAGCTGAAATTGTAACATTTTGGCAACAAAATCGACTTACCTCAATGCCTTGTTGTCTTTTCTATTGTAATCTCACTATTCAGTTCGATCCGAAGATGGATTTTTGGTGTCGAAAACCAAAAATCCATAAGGGAAAAAAAAAAAAAAAAAAA